GGGATCTCCTTTCACATGCTGTTATAGGTGTGTGAGAAGGACAAGTAGGGTCTGAATTTGATGATATAACTTTTCATTAACTCCATTGGAATATGTGTTTTATACTTTGATAATTTGATACTTTGATTAGCTTATATAATATTGACTTGTGGATGTAATTAGTTGAATTATGTTAAGTATATTTTGAATCTTTGATGATTGGTGATTTGATTTTTTTGAATTTTTAATATAGCATATATATTTATATTTTTTTAATGTATAAAAACGGGTCCAGCAAAGTGACCCCGTGACCCACCGATTGAACCTGTGACCCCTGACCTCGGCCGAGTCGATGGTCGAGCTGAGTTTTAAACACTACTTTTCTTATTAGCCAGCGTTTTAAACACTGGTGACATCCCAATGATCGCATTATGTATTATCAACATTTAGAATCTTCAGTAGAAGAATAGAAACCCGGGTCGGTGCAAGAATGAAATTCCAGTTATTTAGACATAAAATAATCTCAGATAGCTGTCTTTACTTTTTAATTATTCCTTAAGGGGGCATTTGGTACAAGGAAAAATTTTGGATTTCCGGAAAATTGACATTGGTAATCCTATTTACCCACGTTTTGTATAAGGATTGTTAAAAAATTTCAAAGGAAAATCAGATTCTTAGGGGAAATTTTTTTTGAAGCTTTTTGGACCAAAATACTATCGAAGAATACCACCAAGAGGGTGGTATTCTTGGATTTCCATGACTTGGGAAAATTTCACACAGCATTTTTGTAATATTCCCGGTAATATTTTGGCCTACCAAACAACTTTTTGGTAATATTTCCGGGAAATTCATTTTCCCAGCATATTCCTTGTAATCATGATTCCTAAGCATAAAAAAAAAATTCCTCTACCAAATGCCCCCTAAGTTTCATTCATGCCCTAAAGACACTAGAGCAAAGCAATAATGAAGCATTGAACAATTTTTAAGTGTAATTGCCAATATTATTCTGTACCACATCTCAGATCTTCAAATTATCATGAGAAATACGTTTTTCCTTGATTAAATTATCCTACCAAACACCTGAGATAACAATTTGACATTGCCAAAAACAACATATAAAAAAAGTACATATCCAAAGGAAAAAATAGCATCCAAACCCATGATAGAAACTTGTTCATCTTATTACCTCCATAATAAAATCCTGATGCAAAATGCAAGTTAGCTTTCAAAGTCAGTGACTCAAGCAAAACCCACTGCTTCTTAGGCACAACACAAACTGAGAAACCTGAAGACAAAGATCATGTAACACTCTTTTTTTGGGTATATAGATCTAGAAACACTTTTTCAGAATATGGGATGTAACATCCCGGGTGCTGACGAGGTCGGGGAGTGATCGCTGCTGCGAAAGAGCATGGTCCGAAAAGGCACAGACAAGGAGCAGCTACTGGCAGACTTCCAGCGAGGGTACATGAATGAATCGAATTGACACCGAAAGAGAGGGATTCCAAAGACTGTGCAGGTATGAGACTGCACAGTTGAGGATAGTTTAAAAGAATTAATTGGTACTACCTGTACTAACAAGATGCATCTATTTTTCGATAGCCCATAACAGAAAAACTCCATAGTTAAACGTACTTGACTTGGAGCAATTCTGGGATAGGTAACCTCCTGGGAAGTTTTCCCAGAAAGTGTGAGTGAGGATAAAGCACGCTGAAAAGTCTTGTGTTAGTGTGTGGGGATAGTTATTGATTCTTGAAACGGCCAGGCGTTACAAGTGGTTAGAGCAGGGCCTCTCAACAAGTACGGTGTGGTTCGAGGATGAACCAGGCGGAAGCTGGTGGGCATGTAACATTACTGGCGCTGACGAGGGCAGGGAGTGATCACCGATGCGAGAGGGCATGGTGCGAAAGGGCACAGACAAGGAGCGGCTTCTGGCAGGCTTCCAGGGAGGGGTACATGAATGAATCGAATCGACACCCGAAAGAGAGAGATTCCAAAGACTGTGCAAGTATGAGACTGCACAGTTGGGGATAACTTATAAGAATTAATTAGTACTGTCTATACTAACAAGATACATCTACTTTTCGGTAGCCCATAATGGAAGAACTCCATGGTTAAGTGTACTTGACTTGGAGCAATTCTAGGATAGGTGACCTCCTGGGAACTTTTCCCAGGAAGTGTGTGAATGAGGATAAAGCACACTAAAAAGTCACGTGCTAGTGTGTGGGGATAGTCATTGATTCTTGAAGCGGCCGGGCATTACAGGGGAGATTTTACCGACTTCACATATGAAACGAGCCACGTCTACAAAGCAAAGTCAATAAATATTATAAAATTGAGATTTTTTATTTTGGTAATGCCACGAGGTGTCCCTGTGTTGGACTAATCCCTCAGTCAAGCATTGGCTAAGCTATGTCCGCAAGGTGCTTCTAGAGACAAAATCTAGCTTTCTAAATAGTAATGCAATACATGAATTGTGCAGATGCCTAACGGCATAAAATATAATCAAAATTTATTCAGTGTTTCCAAATATGAGGAAAAAAATACTCATACACAGCAATTATCAAGAAACCAGAGCCATCAAACAGAGTGGCATAATAAATCTCAATCAAAAGAAATCAAATAAAGCAGATCTAGGAGCCATGACTTCCAACAGAAAATAAAGAGAGAAAAAAAGTGAATGTGTCAAAAAAAAAAAAAAAAAAAAACTTGATCAATGGATAGTAATAAATAACAGTAAAGAAAAAGTGGAAGCTCAAGCATTCACAATTCATATGAATGATAATGTACCCTGCAGGAATAATATCTACAACCTATGCAGTGGCTCCTTCCCTTTCCCAAAAAAATTGATGGCATAAGCATTCTAGAGAAACTGATTGTTGTGATATTCAAATGTAATGGAGCACATTTGGGCTAAGTGCAAACTATATAAGTAGAAGAACCCACGAACCTAATGCTTTGAAGGTTTTGGGTTAAGACGGGACCTCCGATCCACTTTTGGGTTTCTCCTCTCTTTCTCTCTCAAACAACTCAGTCACTTAAGCACCCAAGTACAATATCTTGTTACTCCTTTCAACAATTTGCCATCATTGCAAATTAGCACAAATTAAGGGAACGACATTACTCCAGCCAAAAATAATGGAGTCAATCATTTTACCATTATTTCCATTAATAACAGAGCACGAATCAATTTTCTATTATAACAATTAATGGAGCCAATTAATTTACCGTTATTTCAATTAATAACGGAGTCAATCAATTTTTTTCCATTATTAATAATAATGGTGCCAATCAATTTTCCATTATAAAAATTAATGGAGCCAATCAATCTTCCATCAACACAAATTAAACGAGAATTTAATGCCCATTAACTTCTGACTTCAACACTAATACTGATAGCACAGAAATCATAGAAAACCATATGCAATCAAAGCTAGCTTGCTAACTATCCCTAGCTATAGTGATGGATTTCACTCTCCACATGTCAGAAGGGTACAAACTTCTAATGCAGCAACATCAATCATTAAACCTTTGCCAACCAATATTCGCTCTGGTGTTCCAGACTTAACAGCAGAATGACTCTTGCATGTTATAAATGCCTCCACAGATTTAACACCTTTTTTTAAACAATATAGATTCCCAGAAATTTGAAATGAAGAAGGAAAATGAGAGAGATGGAGAAGATAAAAAGAAAACTATTTGGACAGAGGACTAATATTTATGTAAGAAAGAGTTATAATTTGTTTTCCAATTAACTGCATAAAGTGATAATGAGCGCATAAGAACCACAATCCAACTTGCATGATGATGAGAGAAGACAGCTTAGTTGCACACTAACTTTTAACTCTCTGCGGCTATTTCTATGATGTAGAAATACTAGTACAGGGTATAACTTCAAATTCAGCCTAAAATCATTGGTGCATGCTAATTAGAACCCAATAGATAATCTCGTACACAAATCCAAACCTACACACTCACAGATAACAGTTTATATCCTGAGTTTTTAGTGGGTGTATGCCAGCATCTTCAAGTCTATGACTTCCCATAACCTCAAATGATTGCTTTTATCTTTGGATTTGTGTAACTCCTATAGTCACTATAGGTAAAATATTGCAGATCTGCGATGACAAAATTGCTCACAAAGCTGCAATGATATAAACAACAATCTAAATAATATATTAAAATCTCTTTTTATAAGTATAGATCATGCCTAGCTAGACCTTAAGTACAGCTAATCAAACCTAAAAAAAGGGAAAGACCAGGTTAACAAAAGAAATTCTACGAAGTCATTATATGCAATTAAAATATCACACTCCTTATATTAGCCTTTTTGATGAGTATAAATTCCTTAAGTCACACTAAAGCAGCAAATTATAATCTGCCTCATAGTGTTCCTTCAAGCAAAGCCACCCCATGTTACGACTTGAATTTGACATGGGGGTTTGGATGTGTGTTCCCAAAGGAATATATCCAGGCAACAGTTAGTAATTGTTGTATAGGGTCAGTTACGTAGTTAATCGGTTAGAGTCTTATTTGAGAAGCCTAGAAAGCTGTATATAAGGGAGACACACCCAACTGATAGATATCTTTGGGCTATTCAGTTGTAAACAGAGACATTCTCAGCGTAAAGGGAGAATTCCCTTGTGGAGAGCTCTGCTCTTGTGTTCTTTCATTCTTCATTCATCAAACATTTCCTTTTCTCTCATTTTCCCTTTCTTTCCTCCTCCCCAACACTATCACCACAATTTTTACCTTTCGAGAATCCAGAGCCATTACAAACCAGCATATCCAAAGACTTAAAATTAAGTAATCTTCTAAAACACAACAGAACAGAGGTAATAGGATGTCATGTTTTGTACATATCACACCTTTACATTGAATTGTTAAGAAACTCATATGGAAGTTGGTGCAGTAATTAACCACATCCATATATGCAAAAATTATGTAATGCATGCTTACTACAAATATATAGAGCAGGAAAAGATTTCAAATATGACCACTTCAGCATCAAACATTTAAACCTTGCATATTGGGCGGTGTGGATCTCGAAGATTCACAAGCAAGTTGTCACTTTTCAAGTCAAAGTGTACTATGTTTTTTCCATGCAGATACTCCATACCAAAAGCCACATCCATTGCAATCAAAAGACGCTTGCGCTTGTCAAGGTTCCTGATATGATCACAAAAGTATCAAACGTTTATGATTATTGAAACAAATAAATATTAAATCAGGGTAATGAAAAGCAACCAATACATGGGTGTGTGAGCATGCACATGTGCACGCAAACACATACAAATACATGAACAAACTACCTCCCATTCTTCTGCAAGGCAATTCGTAGAGAACCATTAACCATATACTCTGTTACTGTAGCCACAGAACCTCCAGGGCCATCAAGTACAACACCATAGAAAGCTACCACATTTGGATGATGCAAGTCAGCAAGATTAATTGCCTCATTCCAAAAATCAGCTCTCTGTTCGATGCACATACCACAAACAATGTAAGCTAGTTTGTTGCTTATCAAAGGAAGTAGGGGGCAATAGTAATCAGAACCATTAATAATGGGACACAGACCAAGCGTTCTTGCTCTGAAGGCTTTCCAGCAAAACACCTATCATTAATCCGCTTTATTGCAACATCAGTACCCCTCCATTTTCCATGATATACAGTCCCAAAGGTCCCAGAACCCAATTCTTTCAGCTCTTCAAGGTCACAATTCTTTATAACCTAGCCACATTTGCACAGCAAAGTTTTAGCTTCGCTGAGCTGGCAATATGAAAACATAGAAGAGGAAACATACAGCAGAAAACATTCAACCTGCAACGCTCCAACATTTGAAACTGGAAAGCCAAAATTTGCCTTCTCTGGGAGCTTGCTTTTAACATCCTGAAAGGAAAAAAATAATTGTATTTATAATAACAATAATAAAATCACACCTGAGGAGAAGCAGGATGGGGAAGCGGAGAAAAGTATTAAATTGTGGAGATTATTCCTGTCATTGCGAGACAAGGAAAATATAGAAAATATAAAGACCAAGGAATGTGAAAGTCACCTGAGTTTTATCAACACACTGTATATTTGTTATATCATTTTGAATATCTCCATCGTCAATGTCTTCACGATGGGACACATCTCTGGCATGCAATTCAGGATTCGAAGAAGTGCTTGAGTCCAGAACAGAAGCAGCTAAACCTTCAGCAACAGCTTGAAGTTGTCGGTCTTCTGATAAGCCTTCAATAAAAAGAAACCAAAACACAATGAGCATGAGCTATGAAATCCAAAACTACAAATGATCAATAAAGATAACTTATATTTAGTAAGACTTAAACAATTTACAGACCCACCCTTGACAGATTGAGCTTCATCTAAAGTTAAATTCTGTTTGAATGTCTGGTAGAGGCCATCGTCCAATTGAGCTTCTAAATTTTGTTCCCTGTTGTTGCCTGGATTCTCACCAAACTGATCTTTATAAGAATAGGTTTCTTTCTTCAATGCCACTTTGTTAGGTCTAGGTGGTGGAAAGTAAGTGCCATGTATATTCCAGGGATCCTGATTGCTAAAAAGTGAGTTTGAAGAATCTTGCACATCTGCAAACCTGACAGATGGTGAAATTGAAGACAAAACTGCATCATCCATGAGATGGTTTCCACTCTTTGATTGAGGATTTGATCCAAGAATGCCCCCCCAAACAGGGGGTTGGACAACCTCATTATATTCCACTGGCCTGGAATTATTCCCATATGAAATTTCCATAGTAGAACTGGGAAGCACATCCATCATCTTATTTTGATTTGCATCAGCAATCAATTTTGACCTGCCAAAGTTGTTATCCAGAATCATCCCTTTTTTTTCTACAGCATGCTGAGTGTTGCAATCAAATTTATCATTATTTACATAAAATTCAGGATTGCCTATCTTGAGGGTGTCCATCCTTCCATCAATAGGTTTGAGATGGTCCTGTGCAATCCAATTCTCCACAGCATCTGCTTTTGAAATAGTGCTAACAAGTTCATTTGGAGATTCTTGAACCATACACTCAGAAGTTTCAATAGATGTGCTACCAACCAAAGGTATATCATCATTAACAGGTTTATTCACAAGCACATCCTCTTTAGCCCAGTTTTCAACTGGCACAATATGCTGGCAGACGACATCATCTAGATAAGACAGTGGTGCTGTTCCCGTCAACCCATCACTCGGTCGCTGTTTCTCAACTGTTCTTCCAACTGCTTCTTGGATAACTGCTTTCCTGGGATCAACCGAATCGTCAAGCTTTTGTGTAAAAATTCTCTCACCTTCAGGCTCCAGAGAAAATCCAGTTGTGTCAGTACATGGTAATCCACCCGGAGGTTCCAATTTACTAAAGACCCTGGGTCTGGTCCCAACTGCTTGTTCAACATTGCCGTCCTTCATTGGTGCAGTCACCAAAACCCTATTTGTTGCTTGAGCTCTAAAATTTTCCTCCATAGGGAGACTATGGTAACTTGGAATTGAATCAGTATATGGACCAGCACAACTATTAGGCTGATCCTGAACCACTGGATCTGAATGTACATGAGGCAGTTTTTTCCGACACATATAACAGTCCTCCACTCTCTGGACTTTCTTAGGGATCATTACTGGTTGTTGAGGTAATAATGCATCAGGGAAACTAACATTCTCTGGTGGAGGAGCCTGAACCCAGCCATAATTACCTCCAACTACAACAGAAGGGACTTGAACCGGATATGCATTGTAACTTTGTTCAGTAGGAAGCTGGTGAATCCTTAGCCCTGAAGTATTTTCATCAATATATTGGTCCAAACGGTTTTGCTGTGGCAGCATGAATGGTTGTGGTTGAATAACACTCGCTCTTCCACCAGCATGAGAAGATGGCTGAGTCACTGTCATTTGTATTGCAGGCATTACCTGATGGGACACTAAGCAAGGAGTATTATCATGAAACTGATGTCGGGAGTAGATAGACCCAGGCTTACCTAAAAGCTGAGGATTGGGAAATCCCATATGTGTATGCATCTGGACATAATCTGCATGTTTCATAACTTCCTGGCGAGGATCAACAAAAGGCTGCAAATAAGGTGCAGGTGATGTAATTTCAATTCCAGATTGCTGCTTCCCAAATTGCTGCTGGGACAAAGTCATAGGTTCAGACTTTTCTAACTCAACCTCATTCTGGAAAGGTGGAGTCTGAGTTGGACCAGAATTAGTCACAGGCATGCCCACTGAAACCGCAGAAGCATCTGAGTAAATTGATGCACTGGGCTGCTCAGAAACTGCAAAATTTGCAGTAGCATCATGAGAAGCAGCCACATTCGCTTCAGTTGATAAAGAGGCAGAAGAAGGTGCCCCGTTGACATCCCCTTGAGCAGCATTTGAGCTATCAAGAACCTCTATTCCACTCAAATCAGAATTTTGGGTAGAAGCTGCACTTGTAATACTCTCTTTCCTTATGAGTTTACCACTAATACCATCAGTAATTCCATTCACCGCTTCAACATATTTTTGCCTACTACTTTGTAAATCCACAAAGGGTGCCACATAAGAAGGATCAGGTTCTGAAGCTGAAAACAGAAAGACCCTCAATTTAGCAGAACAATCAGGAGATCTCTCAGTTAATCTTTCATACTCCTCCATCATATTCTCCAGATCATCGGGGCAGGAAACCGAGACCAGTGCGTCAAGATCCTCATCAGGGAGCTGATACTTGATAACCACAGGTTGCCCAAAAGTATCAGCCATCTTTTGCACCAAATCATTAAACCTCACATCTTTCCTAACACTTATGATCCTCGTCTCCCCTCCAACATATCTCAACATTCCGTCACTTGGCCTAGGCATAATCTTCCCACCATAACTGCACATAAACTTCAATTTTCGCCCCGACAAGGAATCATCCCCGCCGGCATCACACACCTGATCAGCCCGCTGACTTGTAGTAGGACTCAAACCAATCCCAGTTAACCCAACACCACCAACATGATCACTGGCATTGCCAATGACCCTGCTGTTTCCCTGAAGGGCATTATCCAACCCATTACCCCCAACCCAATTTCCCGAATTCATAGGATATCCATTTGCAGCTGCCACAAAGCTACCCGAAAGATCAACAGCATTGGGAATATTAGAAGCATGACTAAACCCAATAGCAGGGTTCACGGTGGGATGGGGAATCGGCACAGCAGGGCGAACGCACCTGGTTGTAGCAGCAGCAGCAGCAGCACCCGAAGCCACATTTCCATACCCCATTCCAACCAAACCAGCATCAGAGACAGAAGCAGGGTAGAAAAGGGGCATAGCGCCAGGGGTTCCATGCTCCCGAACCGTTGTACTCACAGGCGGCAAAACGACTGGCTCTTCAGCTAGATTTCGGGTCGAGTTCAGTGGCCGCATATCGTTGGGAACGGAATTTTGATCAAACGCCATGGCTAACGAAATCTACAGAAAATTCAAAATCACAGAGAAAACCACAAAATCAGTCCAAGAAGAACGCGAATCGAAGAGAAAACCTAAGAATTGGCCATGGAATGGATCAGTACATTGCGGTCGATGCCAAATCCTGAAAATGAAATGAGCAATTCAAAACCCTAGTCAAATTGAGCTAAACAAGGAGAAAATATGATCGACTCAGAGAAAGAGAAAGTACCAGATGTTGAACGGTGCAGTACAAGAGTAATAAGGTAGAGAGAAAGAAGAGAAGATAAAAAAACGTTATTGAAGTCGGTGGAGTCTCGAATTCGAAAGAGGACAAAACCAAGCTAGCGCAAACCCCAAAAATTCAGGGTTTTTTGAAGGATCTTTCTACTTGCAGTCTTCACACACTATCTCTCTCTCTATCTATCTATCTATCTACACTTTCTCTCTCTGCTGCAATGGAATCTGTCTCCCATTTTTTTTACAATAGAATAACCGCTTGCTTTGAACCTAACGTGCAGAGTCCCAGAGAGTGCAGTGGCACGCAGCGGGTGCTGTTACAATCTTTTCCCGGGAAAGTGACAGAAAGTGGGAGGAAACGGCGGTGCAGAAGAGAAAGCGGAGAGGGAAAATGAAAATTGGAAATTGGTAAGACTTAAGAAGGAAGGCACGTGGAGTGGACACGGCTTCATGCAAAGTCTTTTGAATGTGTGAATACGAAAATGAAATCCATGGGGATTTATATTTTATAGTATAAGGTTTGAGTAATACAATAGGGACAATTTTTTCACCTGTATAAGTATGTTAATGGGGCCTCATATCTCCCCCACCAAATCTTACTCTCATCAACCTATCATTTTCTCTCTTTATTTTATTTAAACATTTTTTTTTGTTGGTTAGTTTTTTTTTCTTCTTCTTCTTTCTTCACGTTGCATAGCAAAGAGTTTTTTTCTTCAATAAAATAATAACTAATATATATTCAAGACACAATTTTTTACTCATTGAAGAAATTCATAGTATTAGTGACCATGAAGAGTCCTATATGAATTATATTATATTACTATATGCATAAGAATTTTTCATTTGTTAATGAATAATACTATTGATCGAGAATATTTTATGGACTTTATTTCTCTTATATTACATAAGATAAATTTTATCACCTATTTTCACTTTGATTTATATATCCTATATTCTTTTCTTTTCTTTTTTAAAAAATAAACTGGATTCCACTCTTTGTTGTAAAAGAATAAGAGAAGATTTATCTTATATGATATAACAAAAATAAATCCATATTTTATATGTGAACAATCTTTAACAACAATAAAATTCCTTTTTGTTTTCCCTTACGCGGAATTCACTATACATATAAAACAACGTTACTGTACTGTGTTAAAATAAGAAATTTTCTTTACAAAAGAAAATTAAAAGGGCCATCTGTTTCTTAAATGTTATTATAATAATTTTAAATCTAACTATAAATATTAAAGAGCAAGAGTGTAGTGATATAAATATGGTAAAGGAATTCTTGTTAACGTGAGCAACTTAATAATTTACAAGATGTTTAATTTATGATATTATTAGTATATTTATTCGTAGTACTTTAGAAGTGCCTAGAGGGGCAAACTAGTATTTTTATTATTTTATTAATTTTTATACATGTCAAAAAATATTTGTATAACTATAGTTGACAGTATACGTCTTTGAATCATCAACTAATATTAGAATTATCGTATTATGGGAGACTGGACATACGAGTACGACTTTCCTAAAATAAACAACATTTTTTTTTTTTTGGTACAAACAAATAAACAACATTTTATGTCTCCGATTTATCATTCTGCATCCTTCCTTAAAAACAGAGATGGCGACCCACAATACAAGGGAAAATAAAAATAAGTTAGGGCCATCTTCAAGTCAGAGCACACTTAGAGCGCCTATTCACACTGCTGAACGGTTGGTTTAATATTAAAGTTACGACTTAGAAGAGTCAGATTTTGTTTTCAATTTTTTTTTTCCAAATTAAACCTGTATAAGCATATCAATCATAGAAATACAACAAATGAATTATACAGTATTACAGTGCAAGAAACTATCAGAATTATATTACTAGCTTTAAAATATACAATTAATTTAAAAAAATATCAATCTGTGTTTAAACTCTCATCATTATTACCCTCATAATCCTCCCTAGTTGCTTCGTCTTGGGATTAGAAGTGATAAAATGGGCAGCTTGCTCTAGTCTCCCATCATTAATCCATTAAAAAATAAGTCAGTTGACCCTGATTAGCTTTTGAGAATGGGCTGAAAAACTCGACGTGTCTTGTTCCATTTTGCGAGCGGAGCATGTTGGCCCGCCAGTTCGAACTTTTTTTTATACTAACCTGCCCAGCTCCACCTCTCCCCTCCTCGTCAAAAACGAGTTCAGCCCATCCCGGGAGTGGATCTTCTAATGTGTTAATTAATATGATCATGTTATGTGAGGAAATCATAATCATACATGGATGAATAGATAGTGATAAGAGAGGAGAGAGAAAAAATAAAAAGATAAGAAGTTACACACTCTTCACCGTTGATTTAATTATCAATGATTAAGATTCTCCCACATAACATGATCATGTTAAATTATACATGAGAGGATCCATTTCCACTCGCCCCACCTTGTTTAACTGGCGAGGCTTGTCGGCCCTACTTGTGGTGGTGCTAAGGGTGATAAAAGAAGCCTAAATAGTAGACACTAGTTGCATCATGACAAAAGAAGCTATTATTGCATTTACAATTTTAATTATTATTTTTTGTCATAGGGTGCATGTGGAATTGATGGCCTCCGACGATGAAGCATACTCGGAGCAATGAATGTCAATATGATACGGACCCAAGACAAGAGAACGTCGATGGACACAGGGGTAATGAAATAGATGATGCTTTGTCGGTGGATGATGTTGTGTCTGTAGAACAGACAAGGGAGAGAGATGAAGAACATGCTCGAAGAGGGACACGAGTCAGAGTGCACTCAAAGTGGACCAGGGACTATCAGTTGGGGTGACTGGGTGACTTGGGCCAAATGTGATCTGAGGCCCACCTTTGGCCTTACTAGAGTTGATACAAGTTATAATTCCTGTAAATAACGGGCCTATGCATATGAGCCCAATAGGATTAGAATTGTTGATTCCTTTTAAGTCCTAGTCACGTTGTTAGTAGGTAATCTGAATTTTACAACTGAATCTCTATCTTCTTCCTCTGTAATTTCTTGGAGTCGCCGGCAAACTCGAATTGCCGTTGAAACCTTTTACGTTCTTCAATTTGTGTTTTCCATCCTTAGTCTCTACCATTTTGGTGCTTTCATTGAGAGTTGAACTTCTGATCATCACCACCATGACAGAGGGAACTCGCAGCACTGTGAAGCAACAACATGTCCTTGATGAATGTATGGCCTAGTTGACGCACCACGACGAACAGTTCAACTCCTTGGGTAATCTGTTACAGGAAATGAACTTAAAATTAACTTTGATGGAAGGAAAATTAGATCAGAATCAGAAGTACAAAGGCAAGGGAGAAACCTCGTCGGGAGAGGGACTTAAGTGTTTATTTGGTAACAATGCCTTTAAATAAGTTAAACTGACAATACCTCATTTTAATAGAGGTAATCCGGAACCCTGGATCCATAAGATCCAATAATTCTATGGATTCCATAGCTTATCCGATGCTGAAAAATTCACGTTGACCTCATTCTACATGGATGGGAAGGCGGAGGAATGGTATCATTGGATGGATCGAAATGGGAGATTGCATACCTGGGAGCAATTTTTAGGGGCTTTGCGTTCCAGATTTGGCCCTTCGAGGTATAGAGATCTGAGGGGTGAATTGAGTAGATTGATCCAAAACACCATCGTTGATGACTACCAAACGCATTTTGAGCAGCTCGCTAATCAAGTAATCAGTATTGATGATGTGAGTCTCCAAAGTTACTTTGAATCTGGTCTTAAGCCAGAAATTCGCAAAGAGGTATGTATGCATCTTCCTACAAGTTTGGAGCAAGCTATTGATTTAGCTAATATTGTAGAGGACAAAATGAATGATAAAAGTCCCAGCCGGCAATATTACAACAAAAATCCAGTAGGAAATGTGACCAATAACCAACTTGGTCTTTTACCTACACCTCCCAAACCTCTTGCAATAGGTGCGGGCACATCAAAGTCATCGATCCCCATGAAGAGACTCACCACTGCCGAGATGCTGGAAAAAAGATAGAAGGGTTTATGTTACTATTGCGATGAAAAGTTTAATAGAAGTCATGTCTGTAAAGGGAAGATGTTCATACTTGTAGTGCAGGACGACGATGATGATCCAATGATGCTAGAAAATACAACTATAATTCCAAAACAAGTGACTGAGGATTCGAGAGGTGCAGAACATATAATGCCGGAGATTAGTCTGCATGCCATGGCCGAGCAGCATTCCAACAGCACCTTGCGGGTCACGGGGAGGATAGACAATGCAACAGTACAAATCCTAGTGGATGGGGGTTCGACCCACAACTTCATACAAGACCGTTTGGTGCAGTTTTTGGGTTTGGAGACCATACCTACACAGAAATTTCAGGTGTTAATTGGGAATGGAGAAAGGATGGACTGTTTGAGAATGTGTCCTAAGGTGACTATGGAAATACAAGGCCAATGCTTCTGTCCTGATCTTTATGTATTGCCAATTCAAGGAGCTGAAGTGGTTTTGGGGGTACAATGGTTATCCGAATGGGAAGATGTCACCATCAATTACAAACAGCTAGTGATGAAGTTTGAAAGAGATGGACAGAAAATGGAGATACAAGGAGAGTCTAATTTTAGCATGGAGGCTATTCAGTTGAATCAACTCCAAAGGTTAATAGCTTCCAATTCAATAGCATGCCTTTATCAGTTACATGCCATTGAGCATCCTACTGAGTCCCAAAAATCATTGAGCAAAGAACCTGATGATCAGGTGCTGCAAGTCCTGCAAGAGTTTGAGCAAGTCTTTGAGCAGCCAACTGCATTACCCCCGCGTCGTCAGCAGGATCACCAAATCCACTTGCAACCTGAAACAAAAGCCATCAGTGTTAGACCCTACAGATATCCACATTTTCAAAAAACATAAATGGAAAAGATGGTAAGAGAAATGTTGGAGTCAGGGGTGGTCTGTCCCAGTATCAGCCCTTTTTCATCTTCTGCCTTGTTAGTAAAAAAAAAAGATGGCACGTGGCGGTTCTGCGTGGACTATCGAGCTCTTAACTAGGTGACGATAGCTCATAGCTTCCCCATTCCTACAGTGGATGAGATGCTTGATGAGTTGGCAGAAGCTACTATTTTTTCCAAAATGGATCTGAGGTATGGGTATCATCATATCCGTATGGATGAACAAGACATTTACAAAACGGCCTTCCGCACACACGAGGGTCACTATGAGTTTATGGTTATGCCCTTTGGGCTGACCAATGCACCCGATACCTTCCAGGGAATCATGAACTCCGTACTTAAGGTTTTCTTGCGGAAATTTGTAATTGTCTTCTTTGATGACATTTTGATTTACAGCAGGAACCTAGGAGACCATTTGCAACACCTACGAGCTGTTCTCGAATGTCT